AAAAAGAGGGTGATGAAAATAGGAGGAAAAGAGAGAAGAAAAAAGAGAGAAAGGGAGAGGTGAGAAAAAAGAGTAGAGAAGAGAGAAGAAAAAGGAAATGGAAAGGAAACATGATGAGAATAAGGTAGGATGAGTGGAGAGAGAGATAAGTTAAGGAGAGATAAAATATAAGAGAAAAGAGATAGGAGAAGAGGAGAATAAAAGAATAAAGATAGGAGATGAAGAAGAGTAATGGAAAGGAAGGAAAAGGGAAAAAAGAGAATAAGGTAAGAGGATATATTGGAGAGGAAGGAGAGAAAGGGGGAGGAAGAGAGCAAGATGAGGAGAAGGAATGTGTAACGAAGAGAATGAGAAGAGTAGAAGATAAAGGGAAATGGTAGAAGAAGAAAGAAGAGATACTTGAGATGAGAATAAAAAAAGGAGGAGAGGTAAGGATGACAAGAAGGGAGATGGAAGGCGATAAAGAAGGAGGTGGAGAGGAGGAAAAAGGAAAAAGAGGATAGAGTTGGATGTGGTAGAAGGAGAATAAGAAGAGAAAGAGAAGAGAAGAGAGGATGAAGGAGAGTCGAGAGGGGAGAGAAAGAAAAGAATGAGAGTAAAGAAGAAAGATACAAGGAGAACAAGAAAAGAAAAGAGGAAAGATGATAAGGGAGAGATGGATGATTGAGGGGCAGAGAATTGGAGAGATGAAGAGAAAGGAAAAGAGATTTGTGAGGAGGAGGGAAGATGAGAAGAGGGTAAAAGGAGAGAGTGAAGAAAGGGAGTAAGGTGTGAGAGAAGTGGGAGTAAAGGAAGGAGAGCGGAGAGAAAATGAGGATATAAGCAGGCAAGGGGATACTTGGATGAGAGAGATGAAAGAGAAAGGAGAGCGACGAAGATAATAAGAAAAAGGGAGGGAAAAAGGGAAAAGAAGGACCAGAATATAGAACAGGGAAAATAAGAGAATATTAGTAGAGAAAGGTGAAACCGAAGCATAGAAAAAAAAGAGAAATCAAGGGGATATGTGTAAGAGATGCGGGATAGGAAAAGAAGGAGGCACAGGAAAGAATAAAAAGGAAAAGAGATGAGGAAAAAAGAAGAGGAATAAAAGGATAACAGAAGAAGAAAAAGAGAGATAAAATGAATCTTATTAAGAGAGAAAGAAAAAAAGAAGTGAGAAAAGAAAGGAGAAAAGGGTAGGGGAAAAAAGAGAAGGGGAGAAGAGAAAGAGAAAAAAAGGTAAGAGGAAAGGGAGTAAAGAGTTGGGAGAAAAAAAGGAGAAGTGAGGGGGCCGGAGGGATGTGACGAAATAGAAGTAGAAAGAAAGGGAGAAGGGAGGATTGATAGGGGTGGGGAATAGGTAAGTAAAGGGAGAAGAAAATGAGCGAGGAGAAGATTAGAATGAGAAAGAGAGAGAAGATAGCAGAGAGAGATGTAAGAAAGGATGGATGAATGAGTTATGAGAAGGATTAGTAGAGAAAAAGAGAAGAAGGGGTGAGAGTAGAAGAGGGGTGGAAAGTAGATGAGAAGCAGGAGGTGTAAGGAAGATAGGAAGTATGAGTAGGTTGATGGTGATAATTTAGGTATATAAGATGTATGTGAGAATTCTGGAGGAAGAATAAGAGGAGAAAAGGGCAAATAGAAAAGTGAAAGAGATTGCTGAAAAGTACGAAGGGATTATGAGGTGGGCAGAGCAAGCAAGAGGTGGAAGAGAAAAAAGGAGGAAAGAGAATAATGAGAAGTATGAAAAAGAGAAGAGAGAGGTGGAAAAAGATGTTAATTATAGGTGACGGTGTACAAATGGAAAGAATAGAAAATATATTAGACGATAGGGGGTGATAGAAGATGTATAGAAGAAGTGAGAGAGAGAATGGAGAGTAGCAGAGGAAAGAGTGGGATAGGAGGTG